CCGCTCGACTTTACCATTAGGGTATCAATCCTGTGAACAGCAGAACAGGAACCATCTTAGATCCATGGCAACAGATAGGACGCCCTCTTCCAAAGCTGATTACTTTTTTTCTTTGGTATAATAGCGCATGAATGGCGCCCTCTTGCTAAATTGGAAACTTTTGAACCTTGACCGACGCTTCTATTTGTTACGCGTAAATCGCGGAGAACGCTATCTTGTGTTTATAAGATCTTTGATCTTTGTATAATAGACAATACAATAGGTCCGATAGGGGCGTTCCCTATAATTTCCTTCGTCCATGACAAACCATTCGCAGATCCAGTGATATTTGAGATGTTTAGGTACAGGGGGACTGTAGCACATTAAATGACCCCACGAGTCCCCACCTGATCTGGGTGATTGTCACCAAAATTTAATCATTTCTTTCTTGTAAATTGGTTAGCTGTTCCAGAAATTTTATTCAGTTTTTGAGATATCCGGTCTGGAACATTTCTTTGTAGCAGTGGTTCTTATATCCACACCACTCCGAATCGTCACTAAAATATAATCATTTCTTCCTTGGAACATGCCGAACCATTCATTCAGATCCATTGATTAGTTTTTTAGATATTTGTCTGGGACGTTAGCAATGTATATGGCTCCCCAAATTCACGCCCGAATCTGGATAGTCACCGAATTAATGTATTCCTTGCAGCTAATGGCATGAAACTTAATGAATCAGTGTCAGTTAATGCCCGAATCACAAGATCTAAACGGGCCTGATTACATGCACAAGTACCATGATTCATCATCTGTATTAAGTGAAACATACCACTACACAATTTAGGAGTTGTCAAATAAACTTGATTGGGGTCACGTTGTTTTATACAAGGGTAAGCTTCACGCATGATGGGCTTTATTATAAGAAAATAATTTTATTATAATAATGATGATATTGACCTTCCAATTGAAATTTTTTCCGTATTTTTAAAGTGTTGCTTTTTTTAATAGTAATTTTTATAATACTTTTTTTAATTCTCTGTGCAAACACTTACATTTTGATACATTTTTATAACTCAATGTATACATAATTATTTGTATTTTATTTTGAATGGGGAGTTGGAGAGACTCAGACACATAGCCTAGTGATTAATTTTGCTATTAGCAATCCGGTTCACCTTCTGAAAACATTTTAATTATCTTTATATGTGTATTGTTTTTTGAATATTATATTATATATCAAGTGATAAAATAAATTAAATGAGATGAATTTTTTTCGAACATATTCGTATGCATGGTGTACCAAATCTTCAATTATTATTTTAAACAATTATTTTAAACAAAAAAAAATACAATAAGCACACAACATAAACTAGACACGTGAATTATAGTTACTCTAGTTAGAATATCACTGCAAAATTTTCCACTCTTAGAAAGTTCCTCTTTACTTCTTGCAATAGTAGACCTATAGGATTTTTTGTTTTTGTCTTAAATTATATTTTAGGCCTTTTATTGAACAGGCGCGCGCCATACCCGTCGGAAGCATTTTTTTTCTATACACAGTGTGACCAGTGATGCGTGAATTGACTTATTCCGGAGGTTGATTGAAAATTATGCTAGATTATCATGCCAACTTTTGATGGGAACACAAGTAAAAAACAAATTTAAGCCTAGGTGGGAGAGGGTGAATGCTAATTAATTATATCGTAAAATATAGCCTGGGGTGAGTACAACCCTTCTTAAAAACAATTTCATCAGAATTTTAAAAAAACAAACTTGTGAGTTGTTGGAATCACATCCAAAAAGAGAAATATTGAGAAGAGGAAAAAATAAAAGTGAAGAGGAAAAAATAAAAGTGTGACCACTGCTTGGGTATTTACCCAAGATCTTGGGTATTTTGACTTGGTCTTGGGTTCTTGGGTATTCCGTTCAAATCCTTGGGTATTTTATTTTTACTAAGAAAATTAAATATTTTTGTCATAGAGACATAAGAAGTAACAAAGTATATTTCATCCATTCAAGTAAGCAAAACTCAACGAAGTGCACATAACATTGTTAATTGACTGTTATATATTGCTATAAACATGGGTTCAGAATTGTTTATTTGTGATTTGCGTTGCCATATTTTTTTTTTGACGAAATAAATGAAATGAAAATGAAGGCACCGGGCTGTGGCAAGCGCTCATAGGTGTAGCCTGCTAGTCGCCAGAGCCATTTTCTGTATTCCAGAGGTTATTCGATTTCATGGAGAATTGTGCATTAATAACAAATACAATATAGAGAAATTGAATTGACAATGCCCAAGGACTTAGACAGAACGGAGAATCGCTCCACCGAATTAATTTCTCTGTGTTTTTTTGTTTTGTTACGCCCACACGTCCAATAGCTTTGTACTTGATTTTGAAACGTCTCATTCCTTTAATAGTACATCATTGTATTTGTGAATTGATGTAAATCGGCTTATGCCGGGGGTTGGTGAGAAATTGTGCTAGATTGTACCAAATGAGGAAAATTATGCTGTTATTTTATGCTAAATTTTGATTGAACAGATACAGCCTGGTACAAAACAAATAGGCCAATGCTGATGGTATCGTCCAATATAGCAAACCAACTTGATCATACATTCTGAAGTTTAAAAAACATTGTTAGAAGTGTAATGAATTATTGTATTTATATTGCATTTGTTAATATGAAATCAGTACTGGCATTAGAACGGGACAATCAATATCAATTGCGTTATTAGACTCGATCGAAAAATCACTTGAAAAAAAATCAGCGATTGGAGTATTTATCGGTCTTAAAGGCCTTCGATGCAATACATCATGTTCTATTAGTTAAGAAATTAGAGATTTATGGTAGCATATTAGAGGTGTTTGGACTGGATCAACAGTACGGTAATAGAAAACAATGTTTTCTATTTAATATTTATTGAAAAGACATGGAAACATAGAAACGATAGTTTAAATGAGTCTTGATCTATAATGTAAAGATTAAGCCTACGTTGTTATTGATTCCTGATTATAATTTATATGTTGTTTTTCTGCTGTATTTTTTGTGATATGTTAGTATATTAATTGTAAAATTATGTGATTTGGAAGGAATAAGTCAAATTTTATCGAAGTCAAACAATTTTTCTACTACCTCAGCCCACACGAATAATTAGGCCTAATTCCTAATGTAAATTTATAGCGAAAGATTTTTTTATTTGTAAGATTTTTTTTTTACTAAATACAGTTTTTACAACCTATAACACATGTGTACTGTAAATTCTGTACGTAGTTACCCTTCAGAGAACTTTATTTTAAAAATGGCCTAATTAAGTATCTTATTTTATTTTTTTTTCTCGTTTAGATGGAGTTTAAATGTGCTTATATTATGCTAGTTCGAAGGTTTACTTTAATAATAATCATAATAATAACAATAATATTAATAATAATAATAATCATAATAATAACAATAATATTAATAATAATAATAATCATAATAATAATAGTAATAGGCCTAATAATAATAATAATAACATAATAATAATAATAACATTGCATCGTTCGTAAATTGTTTGTCACTGGTGCTGGGAACAGTCACAAAGGTGGGGGAGCCAGCCGCCCCCCCCCCCCCCCCCGCTTCCGCCGCCGTTGTGTTTGTTTGATACAAGGATAAGCTTCACTCATGATGGGCATTATCATAAGAATATAATTTTATTATAGCATAGAGAAAATAGTTTTATTTTCTCTATGATTATAGTAATGATATGATATTTAACCTTCCAATTGAATTTTTTCCGTATTTTTAAAGTGTTGCTTTTTAACTTTCGTATGCATGGTGTACCAAAAATTCAATTATTATTTTATTAACAAAAAATGTACAATAAGCACACAGCATAAACCAAGGATTAGTGAATCATAGTTACTCTAGTTATAATATCACTGCAAAATGTTCCACTCTTAGAAAGCTCCTCTTTACTTCTTTACTTCATCATTCTACTTAAGCCTATATTCTACCGACATTTAAGTAGGCCTATAGCATTTTTTTTGTCTTAAATTATATTTTAGGCCTTTTATTGAACAGGCGCGCGCCATACCCGTCGAAGCATTCTTTTTTCTATACACAGTGTGACCAGTGATGCGTGAATCGACTTATTCCGGAGGTTGATGGAAAATTGTGCTAGA